TCAGGGAGGGATCATTTTCGTGCCAACACCTACTACAACACGGGACTTCAGATTATTCGGTCTCATCGGAAGGATCAGTCTTCATGTCCCATAGTGGGATATAGATTCTTTGTGTTCAGCAAAAAAAATTATGCCTCCTCCTTCCTTTACCTCAACATAACATAAACACCATATATGTTGAAATGGAAATTTATTGATCAAATAAATCTTGATCAACAATCCAAACATGTAGTACAGACAAATAAAAATATCAACCAAAATATTCCTAAAACTACATACAATTATACGGTTCACAAAAACAAACAAATACAAAAGAATGTACAAAATGCTATCAGTACTTCAAAACAAAACACTCAAGAATTTACTTTTTCATACAATAAACATAGCTAAGTTTAAAATTGACTTTGAATCTGTCTCGAAAAACAGACAGACATACACACAAATTTACACATATAAAAACATATACGTAAACTTAAAAAGTAACATGTATGGGACTAACAGATAAGTTCAAATGTTAATAATCAAATAATGGGCAAAGGTGGGGGGTCATTAGGGGAGGAGGGTGGGAAAACAAAATTTCGTTAAAAAATTTCTCTGTGATGTTGCGCTTTCTTTGTGTTCAGTAAAAATATTAAATTTTAAAAGAATGTATTGTATTGAGTAATAATTTAGACCGGTTGGTTATGATTTACTGGGAATTTCTTCTAGAATATCTAGAATCAGATAGATTTGACATCGATGGATCTGCGCCTCTACGACAGCGAGATGTTAGTAGACACCATAAAGTGAAAATCTCAAAAAAAAAAAAATTACCCATTAGATAACACGTATTTGCAAATTTAAGACACTCAAAATTTTATATTTAATTATCCAAAATCAAAAGAAAGAAAAGCAACATCCACAAAGAGAAATAATTTATAAAAATCAAGACAAGAATTTTGAAAAACATTATTTTAATTCGGGAACTCTTTCTGTGCATATAAACAATAATTGGAAAGAAATTTATACAAAATTTGAACAGAAAAATTCACTTTTTCATTTTGCTTCAAGGTCCATCGGTGTGATATTCAGTTGGGCCATCTTTGATGATGACATAATTGTCCTGTCATGCATCTCCTTTATTAACCCAGGATAAACCAATAATACCAAACAATCCACAAACTTGTAAATTCTTTCGTTAATTCAAACTAATGAAATTTTAAAAGTCAACTGACTAAATTATTTCGTATAGACTAGGTTATATAGAAGGGTGTTTTAAAACAGGTTATCCCCCAAAAGTCAAAATAAATGTTCATGATAAAAAATTTAAAAACATTTACGCCATTTCTCTTATCTTTCTATGTCAACAAATAGTTCTGTTTTATTGATCGTAAAGGTAAAACGTTATTTTTTCATTTCTACCAGTAAATCAATATCAAGAAGGAAATGGAGATAACGAACAGTATTCAATCTCAAATTCCATTAAACAATACAAAATAAGAGCAAAGCAAACACGGAGCCCTGAAACATCAGAGGTAGGATCAGGTGCCACGTAGAAGTGAGCATCCCCTGCCGACCGGTCACACCCACCGTGTGCTCCTTGTCATGATCAGGAAATCCGTCGTCAATTCAGTGAATAAATAATGGACTAACAATTGGTATGAAAAACTTCAGTCAGCATTTGACTCAATGATAAATTGTATTTGCTGACAAGGTCATTGTATCGACAATAGAACTTACGAAATGATGACTTTAAACGAGGCTGTTGATATTCTTAAATCATCAATTTGCTTGTCAATTATCTCGTTTTGGAAATTGTTCATACGTAGAGCATGCTCTTGCCTATCGAATCAACTGAGATATATATATATATATATATATATATATATATATATATATATATATATATATATATATATATATATATATATATATATATATATATATATATATATATATATATATATATACTCAGTATGCAGGTGATGGACGTAGATTACCATTAATGTCTTTTTCAATTTAAATATTGAAGTATGAAACAGAAGTGTAAGAATCTGGGGTATCTTTTATCTCAATCTCACCAGGATATATCGTATCGACGAAGGAATATACGTCGTCGATATATCTAAATGTCGAATTGAAGGCCACAGCAAGTGTTTTCTTCTTTTGCACAAATTATGCTTCATGTGAATATAAAAATAGGTCCGCTTATAACGGATCGCAATTTGTACCAATGGGAATTCCAGTAGATTGTTGGAATACCTGGTCTTCAAAAACCACATAGATATTGTCGATCAGAAACACAAGCATCTCTTTGATGTCAACTTCAGAGTACTTGTATGTGCAATTATAATGTGTTTTAGCAAATTATTTTGCAAATGACCAATGACCAGGTAAGTAAATATACGAGTTTCATTTTTATTAAAAAGCAACTGTCAATGATATCAAAAAGTCTGGACTTAAATTTTCATGGGGAATGGTTGTATATAAAGTTGAACAGTCGTAAGATTTTAAGCTATTGATTTTGGTAAAATTTGTGATTTAAAATTGTCCAAAAGTTCTTTGGAATTTTAAAGTATTTACATCTGATTCACACTACTTCTTGAATATATGGAATTGTAAAAAAAAATTATAGTAAATGCAATGGCTCTTGTATTTCATACATGTATTCCTTTACAGTCTAATACTAATGTACGAATATAGGTATTTTTGTTGCTGTCTAAAATTTATTGATTAAACATGCAGAATTAAAATTGAACAAAATAGCCATAGCGCATTTGATATTCACTTTCGCCTACTCTACTAATGATTTTTAAATACATTGTTTCAACATATAAATGTATATACATGCCTTAATGCAAATCACCTAAAAATGATATTCAAATATTAATAGTTCCCTCGCATGATAGATATAAAATCGTTCAGTTTATAGGAGAATAAAGTAAATACTGAGGTATCTTCCTAAAAAAATGACAAACTGTAGCAAAAGACCAGGCCCTTAACCAAAAAAAAAAACAACCTCTGAATAATTGTTTTGAATATGACTGCACTTCATTACATTTAGATACGCAGTGGTTAGAGCGTCTGTAAGAATAATTTATTTTACAATACCTAGATATCGGAAATCTGAAACATGACCCTCTTTCTTCGTTTTCCTATTCACCTGTCTCCCTCAATACGCAGTGGTTAGAGCGTCTGCTCTAGAGTCGCTAAGTAAGGAGTCGATCCTGACGTCGCATTTTCGAATCTCAATTCAGGACATGGAGACCGATCTTCCGGATGAGGCCGTATTACCCGAGATCCCGTTTCGCAGTAGGTGCTGGCAAAAAAAAATGATCCCTCACTTCTCAATGGTAAAGAGTGTCAAGTATATGAAAAATAAGATAGCCCTCCACTGGCAAGTGCAGGCGTCTCCATATGAGTGACAAATTCCCGGAATTAACGTTAAACAGCATAAACAACACCTATTTTTAATTCAATTAGACTTATCTTTGATTCATTTGAAGATAAATTCAATGTTAATTTTTTAAAGATAGGTACAATTATTTGATGATAATTTCAAATATTTGAATATACGTAATTTTGGCGTTCCACACACGTATGTATATAAAATGTGTCATGCCAATAAAACCCAAAACGTATTAAATTTACTAGTGCTATTAGAGAAAAGAGCCATAGCTGCCTTACCGACGACAAGGCCGACTCAAGTATTTAAAAGGAAATCAACTGTTTCTATTTATAGATACATGCACCTTTTCAATTCAAGATCAAACAACATATATGTATTCATCTGTGGACCACTGTTGTATTTTTATAGTTGCAAGTTTGTTACATGACAATCATTTTACTTGTTCGATGCTGTTTTTCTAAACAGAATTTTTAGAAAAAAAGCTCCGATGTTGGGTCATTAAAACGGTTAAGGCCTGTTTTTACCAAGACACGTTCAAGGTGTAATGTTGTATTACCGGTATATATATCTTACAATATTTATACTTGTATTATAGGCCTAAAGCCAGAGAGAGAAAAAAAATAAAAGGATAGGTAAAAACACGCACTATGAGACTCGAATGATAATAATGTCTAAAATCTAGCAATCATTCCATTACACCCCGTCATTGTAATTGGATGAACAAATTAAAGACAGGTTGTTGAATATCAAAAGAATTTTGAGAACAAAAGTTAAATACATATTTTCAACATTTTCTGAATGAAGTGAATAGGAATATGAAGAAAGAGGGTAATGTTTCAGATTTCCGACATCTAGGTACTGTAAAATAAATTATTCTTACATCTTTAAAATTCAAAATAAAATTACTTAACATTATAAGGAAAAAATCTATGATTTACACTGTGGTTCTACAATACACAAGTATTAACCAAGGTAGTATGACAAAATATGAAAACAAAGAAACATTATAATTCATTGGACTGTACATGGAAAATAGAAAGGCACAGCAAATTACAATTTATACGAAAGGACAGTGCTTAATGTCTTCCTGTCTATATGCTGCTGAAATACGTCTCAGCTCGGAATTGAACAATAATATTAATAAATATTTAATTTTCCAATGTCCTCATCAAAGATAAAATCACAAATTGTATATGAACATTATTACCCCATCAATGTATTGGCACGGTTCCAAAAAGCCACGTGCAGGTCGGAACAAACAGCTAGATAGAAGCAGGGCTTAGCGCACGTGGATTGGCGAAATCAAAGCATGTGAACATAAGGAATAACTCAGATTTTTTTTAATTTTATGACGATGATCAATCGATTGCCTTGCGTGATAATTCTATGCATAATGGCGTTTATGCAAATTATCACGCAATCCCATCGATTTATCACATCATAAAATCGAAAAATAAGACAGTTATTTCTTAAATCAATAAATTATCCTGTTTCTTTATCTTTATATATATTCATACAACTATCAAATTTCTGTTTATTATATATCTGCGAGATAATCCTTTCGTTCTATAAATCTGTATACACACATTCTGTTCGTCTGGCCGGATCCCACCTAAACAAGATGGTTTTTTTCGTCATATGCCAGACTCTGTGGATGAAACATTCCATTTTCTATTGTTGATATAACTGACAGGAAAACACCGTCCTTGTTAATTATATGTATTGTTTCGTCGAATCGACTAGACATCAGTATATTTAAGAGGGCATCTACGCAGATTCCACTCGGCATAAAGTCTCCCATTGACTGTCCTTTGTAGGTGAAACGATAATTTCCTTCACGGTCTGTGACCACCACACCATTCAATATATCAGACACAACCACATCCCCGTTCTCCGTGATATAGACAGGGCTAGAATATAATCGTTTGCCTGTTTTGTGGTATTGAATGGTTTGGATTGGTTGTATTGTACTATTATACCGAATGACTTTTATATCGAAAAAGGATTTGGTCATCACGACCAACAAATCTTCAGTAGAGGAAGAATGACAGGAACAGGGTTTTTCTTTATAAACAACAGAAATTTAAGAGGTTTGTTTGCCAGTTGTTCGTATCTGTGCACATACTTCTTCATTTTTTGATGCTTCATATAAAATTCTTTGTCATATATACCATTCAGTGCCTTCATATGCATATCGATCATTTTTTTCAAGTTTCCAGCTTTAACCGTAAGCTTTCGTTGGATGCCGGAGAGTTTCTCTTTTAAGGGTTTTACATCTCTTTTGACGTCAGATTTGAGACCCGCTAGAATAGCACGATTGTATGGGAGACTCTCGCCTCTAATCTGAATAATTCTTTTCTTGTGTTCCTGTCTTTGAACCGTGCAAGCTAATTTGATATCCAGAATTTCATGTCCTTGATGTTCATAATTTTTATCACAGATTGGACTTTCACAGAATTTGCACCAGTTCTTATATTTGCAGTCTGGGTGTCTGTCACATGACTTTGATTTTACGAAGTCTCCATGCTTTAAACGGTAAATAACCACATCATGCTCAATGGTATCGAGGTACACAGCGTGTTTCTGTTTACAAGTCAAACAGATTATTTTTACATGACCTACAGTAAAATTCTACGTCATTCTGACACTGACAGCACTGAAGCACTTTAAGTTGTATTGTAATATCCTTATGCATGGTGTTACTTAAATATGTTTTTTCATTTAGGTTCCAAATGTCACTTCAGGGGCAGTCTACAATAAAAATATAGGCTTTTTTTCATAGATATTAATTCTCATGATAAGAAAAATGATATAAATTTTAAAATGTACGTCTAATGAAATTGTTCACTTAAACAAGATATTTATCTTACACCCCCCCCCCTCCCCCAAGTGGATAACAAGTTATGTATATAATCAAATAAAGTATACAGGGATACTTTCATCCCTTTCGCCCTTTTACTCTTGCTAACAATTTTGTTTTGTTTTAAATCCGCTCAGTCACAGTTCTGTTTTAAAATATAATGTGTTATTTGAATTCGTCCCGTTTTAAATACGTCCATTGTGACAAGGGCAAAAGGGGAGAAAATAAAACGATGGCGAATATGTCTATGTATACAATTATTTGCAATTATTTGTGGCATTTTTCTTACACTTATTTCTGTTTCTTGAAATTAACTAAATAGGTTTATAATAAACTATGTCATATAGGGCTGTTTCAAAAACAATTTATTCGGAAAAAAATAAGTGAGAATAATCATGCAAATATGTTCATGATCAAATAATTTGAAAGCATGTTTCTTATCTTTCTATGTCAGTTAGTGTCTGGTTTTATTAATCGTGGAGTACCATAGGTAAAACTTATTTCTTATTTAGACTGGTAAGTCACTTACAAACAAGTTGCATACTTCACCTATAATCATTTATGCGAAAGAAAACAGTCTAAAATCCAGATCAACAGTAGAAACCAAATAAAATATTTACAATTAAACAGTTATACAACAACGTAAGGGATGTTCCATTGAATAAACACTTCTTCCGAATTCTTTACAGATCCTGATAATATAGAAGTGAAATGTTATGTGGGAGGGCAGTTATACTCAAGAAGCCTCTACAGAAGAAAAAAATCCGGATTAAATATTAACTTATTTCCCCATAGGCAACTGATCCTTACCACTTCTTTGTGGTTAACAAATAAAGCGTCCTTAAACTAAAAAATATCTTTATTTTATAGTTTTGGTATCTTTACTTTACAGTAATTACAGCTGCAACGTTCAGGTCAATTAACTTAATGTCAGAAAAAAGATTATTTAACTTCAATTGTTCATATTTGTAATAGAAGAATTATCTATAAGCTTTGATTGAAGCAAAATTATCTTATTCTCATCCTTATTTTTCATATAATATTCTATTATATATTCAACAGTGAAATACTGGAATTTATTCATTGAATAAAAATGATATTTTGTTACAGCGTGAAATATATCAAAATGAGCTCCTTTCACAGTGTGACCTGGGACCCATTTTACAAAACAAAAATTACAACAAAATTATCGGATGCTGATTACTTTCTTTACTTTGAGTTGATCAGGATTTTAACCTTTAAAAGGAATTCAACAAGATATTTTGGGTAGGAATTTCTAACAACATAATTAATTTTACAAAATTTTACAAAAAAAACCCCAACATAAACATAATACATGTATATTTCGAGTCAAATGCTGATGGACGCCCAATTAATTATGCCGATTATGACAAGTGGGACATGCAGGTTGTTATGGGTCAGAATAACCCTAAATGCCAGCAAAGATCAATCACACAGTTTAAACTTAACAATAATTTATTTACAGTAATATACAAATCATTAAGTACAAACTTAGCAAAAATCTAAAAATACATACATCAGAGTGTCCGTTTCTGCACACAATGTCCCAGTGAAAATATATATCCCAGTTATATCTCAATAGTGCTTATACGACAAAGTATTGTATCTGCATCGAATTGACAGGGTATTTATATAGTATCATAAATCTAGAATATTCTAGAAATTGTAAATACATGATATTCCTGGAAAGTTCTGGACATGAATAAAGTTCAAGAATGTTCTAGAAAAAATGACCAAACATAATGACCACTCTGGAATGTTCAAGAAACTTAATGTTACTAATAATATACAAGATGAAACAATACAAATACAACACATCTCACAACACCTCCCCCCTTAAAAAGTTTGAATGTCAATGAAAACGTAGTATTAAAATAAAATTTATGTACATTAATACAAAATCTAATTTGTTCATGATACTCTGGACAAGGCATCTGCAATAATATTGTCTTTGCCTTTGATATGCTTGATTGTTATGTTGTATTCTTGTAACAACAAACTCCATCTAGTCAGTCTTTGAGTCTTGTTTGACAATTTATGCAAAAATGTCAGGGGGTTGTGATCCGTATATACAAGAATTGGATGCAAAGTAACATTCAGATAAACATCAAAATGCTGTAAGGCTAACAACAAAGCAAGGCATTCCTTTTCAATGGTGGAATACTTTTGTTGACATTTTGTAAGTTTCTTTGAAAAATAAGAAACAACTCTATCTACCTTATCACTATGTTCTTGAAACAAAGCTGCCCCGATTCCAACATCACTAGCGTCAACAGTAAGCTTAAATTGCTTAGAAAAATCTGGAGTTGACAGAACTGGGTTGCTCATCAGGACAGATTTGATTTTATGAAAGGATTTTTCACAGTCCTTTGTCCATTCAAAGTTAACTCTCTTTTGTAAAAGATTTGTAAGTGGATTAACTACTGAGGAAAAATTTGGACAAAATTTTCTGTAAAATCCAGCCATGCCCAAAAACCTCATTAACTCTTTCTTGTTTGTAGGAATCGGGAACTTTGCAATAGCTTCCACTTTAGCCATTATGGGTGTATCATAACCTTGACCTACTTTATGACCTAAATACTCTACATAAGCATGACAAAATTCACTCTTTTCAAGGTTCACAGTTAAATTTGCTTTAGCTAAAATGTCAAACAAAGCACGCATGATTCGGAGATGTTCATCCCATGTGTCGCTGTATATGACGACATCATCAATGTAGGCCTCGCATCCCTCGAGGTCTTGAAGGAGGGAGTGAATCATCCTTTGGAATGTAGCCGGTGCGTTTTTCATGCCAAAAGGCATTACTTTATACTGGTAAAGTCCATCTGGTGTAGCAAAAGCAGATATTTCTTTTGCTCTTTCTGTTAACGGCACTTGCCAGTAGCCTTTCAACAGGTCAAATTTACTGACAAATTTGGCGTTTCCAATGCTGTCAATACAGTCATCAATTCTAGGTATTGGATATGAATCAGTTTTGGTAACAGAATTCACCTTTCTAAAGTCTGTACATAATCGGTAGGAACCGTCCTGTTTTGGTACAAGAATACACGGTGAGCTCCAATTACTTTTACTAGGTTCAACAATGTCATTGTCCAACATATACTGCACTTCCCTTCTTAGGTACTGTAATTTTATTGGATTGAGACGGTACGGATGTTGTTTGATAGCCAGAGCGTCGCCAACTATGACATCATGACAAGCTGCATTAGTTTTCTTTGGAACATCCGAGAAGATTTGATGGTACTCATTCATCAAGTTTTTAACTTGTTCTTTTTGGTGAATGTTCAAATGTCCAAGTTTGGCATCAAAATCAGCCAAAATTTCTGAGTTTTTCAAGCGGACACTCTGATTACAATCTTTCTCATTCATCTCTACACTCGTATCACTCTCAATACAATTTTGAACAGTCTTAGCGTTGGCTAAAGTGGAAACTGGTTTTACAGAATTTCGGTCACACCTTTCAAAATACTCTTTTAACATGTTAATGTGACAAACCCGTTTCTCTTTACGTCGACCTGGTGTCTTAACTACATAGTTTACATCACTGATCTTGCTTTCAATTTCATAAGGGCCATAAAATCTGGCTTGTAAAGGATGACCAGGAATAGGTAAAAATACAAGAACCTTATCACCTGGCTTAAACACCCTATTTCTGGCATCTTTGTCATACCACATTTTCATTTTCATCTGAGAACTCTTCAAATTTCCTTGTGCTAATTTACAAGCATTGTAAAGTTTTTCTTTGAAATCAGACACATAATCTAAAAGATTAAGATCACTAGTCTCAGTCAGCCACTTTTCCTTCAACAATTTCAAAGGACCTCTAACTGTATGACCAAACAACAATTCAAAAGGACTGAACCCAAGAGACTCCTGGACTGCTTCTCGTGCAGCAAATAGTACAAGATGAACCCCATCATCCCAGTCTTTCTCATACTGATAACAATAGGTCTTCAGCATTGTTTTTAAGGTCTGGTGAAAACGTTCTAGCGCCCCCTGGGACTCAGGATGATAAGCAGTTGATCTATATTGCCTTATACCCAACTCATGCATGACTTGCTGGAACAACCCCGACATAAAATTTGAGCCTTGATCCGACTGAATTGCCTTTGGTGCTCCTACAAAACTGAAAA